TGTGCTACTACTCCAACGCTGTTGTCCGCCTTTGCGTCAGCTCAGAATGACACCGCGAGAAAGCGAACAAACGTAAAAATTATCCTCGATGACGAGGTGGATGCACAACGAGGACTCATCAAGAAGCCAGGAATGTCTAGGACATTCTCCAAGGGATCAAAAACCCTGTCAATGAGCAAGGACAAAGGGAGAAACGTCGACTCGGATGGGTTCCTCGTCCCCGATTTACCCAATAAAATGTTACCTGCTAAGCAGGCCGGAAAAGAGAAGGATGGCACATTACAGGTGGATACCATGTCAGCCAGCAGCTCCGTCGGGAAAGCGAATAGTCCCTTGGAGGAACTGGAACTGGAAGCTAAGAATAAGACTGTGAGTGGAGATTTTTTTTGTTTGAGCTGTAAACTCGGTGAGCTGAAACACTTCCAGGCTATCAAGAGGCGAACACTCAGCGCTTTGGAAGCAATTGGTATATCTAAAACTCATGTCGAATTCAAGGACATGAACCTGGTTGGAGAAACTTCCTAGGCCAGTTAGTCAGCCCGCCCTTGTGGGTACTACAACACGGTGTGCCGGTACCGCATTTAGGCTGTGAGGCTTAGAGAAAGACTCTCGGATAGTATGACTCCAAGAAGAGGCCGGAAATTTCATTAATATCTCTGCATCAGGGCCGTGCAAAGACCTCCCTCCCCCAAGCAGGCGCCTGAAATCTAAATCAGCATGCGCATGGTAATTTGCGATGTCAACTAGACTCACTTTCAATCACACGAGATTTGTACTATACCGGCCCTGACATGGCTCAATCACTGATACGATGGCGTCCTGACATCCTCCATAACCCGTGCGCCCAGAATCTCATCGAAATGTTCCTCAGTAGGCGTCTTCCAGTTTTCATCGATTGGGGTATCAACTTGATCCGTGGATTGATCGGCCGCATCTAGAAGCCCATGTGCATGTTTCCCACCCCGCCCTCCGAAATACATCTCCAGATGCAAGTCCACGAGCTTCACAATGAGATCCCGGTTGACTTTGGTATGCCTGATCAGATTCCTCTGCTCCAATTATCAGCCTGGGACGAAGACGCTCGTATGTGATACAGCGAGGGACAACAGCCATAC